AGATTCAGATTAGACATCAGGAGGCGCTACTTCACCGTCAGGGTGGCTAGGATCTGGAACCTACTTCCAAGAGAAGTCCTACCCTGGGGGTCTTTAAGACAAGGCTTGACAATCACCTTGCCGGGGTCGTTTGACCCCAGTACTCTTCCCTGCCATGGCAGGGGGTCAGACTTGATGATCTGCTCAGGTCCCTTCCGACCCTACAAACTATGGATGCTGTAGAAAGAAGGGCTTTGGGGCAACAACTGATCATCAGGAGGGGTTCTTTATAAGACAGTTGGGATGGACTCGGGTCATGATATTCAGCCTTGGGTTCATAGAGAGAAGCAGAAATGTTATAATGTGTTTACTAATTATTTGCATGTGTTATCAAAGGCTCTGAAGTTTTTCTCTTGGTGATTGCAGAAGTTGTTACCACAGCATTAACTATTTCATTGCCATTGTCCAGCTCAGCTGTCAAGCAGCAGGAGGGCTGACTTTTTTGTTTGTTTGCTTAGACCTCTGTTGCGAAACTATTTAGTTCTGGGCACGCTGCATGCAGTTAACAAAGTGCAAATAAAAGCCACCAAAATCCATCCTCATTTCACTTCAGGCTTAGTTGTGATGTCTTTGACACAAGACCTCATGGCTGCAGTCATAAATTGAAATTAAAAAAAAAAAGGCAGGATATAACAATTGTTAGCTTGGTATGTGCTAGTGTTGGGGGTGGGTATTGCTCAGATTTGGAATTTGAGATTGAGGAAGCAGACCAGGGACTAGGGAGCTAAAACATCAGTGCTTGCCATCCTGTATTTAAAAGGACTTCCAGGCACATAGGAAACCTGTGAGTCTCACTTCCTTTATTTTTCAGTATCTTTGCATTTAAGGGTTTTCAACCAGAACACGAGTGATATGAGAATCTTTGCATCTTCTGTGATGTAGCTTTTGAGTTACCAGTTAACCTGTAACATTGGTATCAGGTTTTAAATCGATATTTTGGAGGAGTGTGACCTTACCGATTTGAATGTTATCTTCAGGGTAGGAAGGAGAGACGGTTCTTCTGGCACGGTTGGCTTTGCTAATCAGCCTGCCAAAAACTGCTGAGCCTCAGAGGTTATGCCCTTCCTTCTCCAAGTGGAGAGCAACCATTGGGACTTCTTTGAGCTTAGGCAGTCTCTCGTCTGTCTTGTCTGTCACTGTTTCTGGTTAACAGTGGAGCCATGCTGAAGATAGCAGCAGAGATGAGTCAGAGAACATTTAACCAGTGTCTAGTATAGCAAATTACCCGTTGTGCTGTGGATAAAAAATTTGTGAAAAACATATTTCTCAACAGTTATTTGCAGCCAATTGCATGAAATGGTAACCATTGAGGTAAGTGACATCAAGTTAGAAGGGAAACCAGAGGCCACTAAGCCAGACTTATGTCCTAGAGCACGCTCTATAAACACAGGGTGTTTATAAAGTCCTTGTGCAACTTTAAACTTTAATAACTTTAGATATACACATGATAGAAGCAAACTGTGAACGGCAATTGAAAGCAAAATTCATTAAGTTTTTTAGCATAGTGTAAGCTATGCATAGGGTAAAGATCACAAACACAATTCATGAAATCACTCAGCAGCAACTGGAAAATGTTTTCTGTGAGTTGGAAAATCTGATTGAACGATGTATCATGAAAGATGGCGGTTATGTTGAAGTCTAGACATTTGAGCTGTGCTGTCTTAAAACTTAATGAATTCTGCTTTTAGTTGCCACTTACAGTTTGCTTCCATCACGTGTACATCCAAAGTTATTGAAGTTTAAAGCTGCACAATGACTTTATAAACACTCTGTATAGTTCTGTTTCTCAATTTAAGATAAAATTGCAAAATATAAGTCCTGTACAACTGCCTTACAAGTTTGGTCCATGTAAAAACTGTTGGTTTAGTTATCCTGTAGTTTGTTGAAAGTTGTGCAGAACTTTGTTTTCCCCAGTTACTGCTGAGTTATGGTCAGGGCCAAGGTATTTGCCTGAAGCCAGAAATGAAAAGAAACACAAATGTTTGGAGAAGAAACCTCCGGTCTTGAGCAGCTGTGCTTGTAAAATGCCAGCGTAGCATGATAATTCCTTTCTGTGTAGGCCATAAATTTGGTTCCTAACTGAGGCTTGAAAAGACCTATGATTATTTATCAAGGTGTTCATGGGTCAGTACAGCTGTGGCACTGAAGGCAAACAATATTGTCTTCGACAAAGTAACAAAGAGCTGCCTCATTTTTCTTTGGCAGGAAAAAGAGAAAGATAAGGAGAAGATTAAAGAGAAAGACAAAGATTCCAAGGAGAAAGAAAAAGACAAGAAGTTGCTAAATGGACACCTCTTCAACACAACCCCTGTTGTGGGTCCAGTCACCTGTCACCACTGTATGAAACCTTTCAACAAGGATTCGTACCTCTGTGCAAGTAAGTGGTTTTGCCTTTGTGTTGCACTGCAGGGAGAAAATTTGTCATCTGTCAGGATGGCTTATAGTTGATTTTCTTCTTTATTTAGCCCTTCATGTTGAGAGGTTTAACACTTGATAAAGGGATAACTAAATGGGGTTTCCATGCATCAGCTTTTTACCTCAAGTAGCTTGGATTCAAATAAAAAAACTAAAACGAAATTGAAATCGACTTTCAACCTAGTTTGTGACTGAGGATTGGCTCAGTTTAGAGGTTATAATGTGATCTGGTGTGTTCATCCACTCTCAGCTTGGTTGCAGAAAATTAGGACTGAAAGATGCTATTGAAGCTGCGTAAAGGCTTGGGACTGAAGTACCTTGGTCTCAGCTTTGCATTTCCACTGCAGGGAGAAAAAGTGCTCAGTCCCATGTATACTTAGACTGCTGCGTTAGCTCCATCAGATGCTGGCTCAGTGTTTCAGTGAGCTCTTGGAGGGGCAGTGCTGCAGTCTGAAGTGAGCATGCCCTCTCTGTGCACGATGATGAGACTTCACATCAGATCAGATATCAGCCATAGTTCTTTTCAGGATTACCAGCAGGAGTAAATCTCGACTATTGGAAGGTGAGAGTAGTTGTCTCAATTGTTGTAGCATCTTTCCATGCTTTCAGGTGCTTTAGATATGGTAGGCGGCTGGGCTCTCAGGAACCTACTTCTGGTTTTGTTATCAAGTCAGGCAGAAATATGGCTGGCGCAGGGCAGGAAAAAAGGGCAGGTGCATTCTCTGTTCCCCAGTCTGTGGTGGCTGTTAGCTTAGATTAACAGTGTTTCAGAGGAAAATATTAGCCATTTAACGTTGAAAAGACTGTGGGAGTGATAGATAATTATGGATGCACGTATGTGTGGGGAACATTAGTGAGGAAAGTGTGTAAGTTTACACTTATCACTGAGGACTTAAGCAGTGCTCAGGATATGCAGTGTAGCATAGACAGCGAACTGGGCACTGGCTGGGAGACAGTTTCCTGTTAAAATGAGCCTGGGCATCTTGTTGTTGCTTCTGTTGAACAGTTATTCATGTGACAAAGTAGTGCATGTCATTGATAAGGCTGGAAGATCGAGCTCAGCAGAGACCAGAGAACTAGTGGTGCTTTAGAGTATTGAGTGTAGAGCTGCAAGATGGGTAAAGAGCTGCACAGCAATGCTTTCCCCACTCCTGCCTGGCACTTTCAATCCTTAGTATCTAATCCATGATGGTTTTCATTCCCAAACTTAACTAGTACAGAGTATTTGCAAGGACCTCTTCCAGTTAGAAGTGGAGGCCACGTTCTCATTTCAGTGCTTGGAACCTAAACAGTTTATGGATTTTGCACAGTTCTGCATGTTCTGCCTTCCCATTAGGGGAGAGTTCTCCAGCCATGAGCTATTGTAAAGCAAAGGGCTGTGAATGATCTGTTGTGCCGCAGGGTGGGAACTACTGCTGTTTGCAGCCTTCTGCCATCTAGCAAGAAGGATAAGGATGATCAGCTTCAACAGACAACCAGTGTCCACAGCCGTTATGGAGAGAGGCAGAAAGGACAATAGCCAGTTTGTGTCCCCAGAGTTGGAGGCAGCTTTGGAGTTTCCTGAAGGAGAAGGGACTGCGGCAAGATTGTTTGCATGAAGCAGTCTGACAGGAAGTGGAAAATGTTAATAATTACAGACTCTTAAATGTGTCCTCTCCCTTCCCTGTTTACTTTTTTGGGGGGGAAAAAAATCTTCTCAATCCACTTAAGAAACCACAGTTCTCTATGTTTAACTTTCTTTACATCCCAGTGAACTTCAGTTTTTTCCTAAATACCTTTTGTTAATAAAGACCCAGCAGCTTTTGGGCTTGCCAGGATCAGGATTCACTTACCATGCCTCTCTAATTAGCATTGTTCAAGATGTACATCGGTTTGTGACATTTCCTTTCACTTCATGCTTGAAGCTACACAAAGATTTAAAGAGTTAAAAGACATGCACGGAGTGTAGGGACTTTTCACCATACTCCAGTGACTAGACTGCTGTCCTCACAGCGCTAGACACGAGGAAGTCAATTATAATCATAAAGACACCATATAATACTTATGCTGCACAACAACAGCTGCATCTCTGCAATCACCCACCTACGATATCTAGGGACCTGGGGGAGAATTTTTAGGGATCCCAACGCCAGACTTCCATATGTGTTTGTTGAAAGCTGGGAACCAGAATATTCTTCTTTCTTTCAAAATCCTTTCATATACATGTGTGAGAACTGTCTAACTCGCGCATTATGAATGAATGTACTTCTAAGGAAAAAGTAGATGTTACCCTGCAAGAGAGCCATTCGCTGTAGCTGCATAAGGTGTTGCAACACATTTATAAGTGTATGCTAGACTGCTCTAATTTAGTTAGTCTATAAAGCTGCAAAGCTGCCCTGTCTTCTGCTTGTATATAATCCAGCTAGACTTGGAAGAGTCACTGCAAAAATTACAGGAGCGTGCAGTGTGCATTGGCCCTCTCCATAATGTGGAATCTGAAGGGAAAACAACCAAGTGCTTTTTGTTTCAATGTCCCGCATCAAATCAGAGCCCCACGGGTTGTAGGAAGAGAGGGTGCCTTGCTGCTTTAGTATTTGAAACCCGTGCAGCTCTCCACTGAGAGGGAGTGCGTTGTGTAGGGAAAGGGATGCATCGCATCAGGGTGAAAACCTTTCAAACCAAGTGGCAGTGTGACTTTGTGAAGCAAAACAGGAAGGTGGTCATAACGCAGGTGGCAGTTGCAGCTCCTAGATAAAGCCGAGTTGAGCTCTGCACTTAAAGCAGATACTCAGCCCACACTTCAAACGGCTGCTCTGAATTGTTGCCCTGAATTGTTGCCCGGATGCTTTGACACTGTTTTGTGGCTTCCCCCATTGTTTCATTCCTCCTTTGTGAGAGGAGTCCTTTGACATGTGCCCAGGGGCTGGGGGAGGGCGTGAGGAGCTAGAGGAGGTTCATATTTCACCGGAGAATGAGTGCCACTCATACTCCATCCTGCTGCCTAGCAGTGGCTTCCAGGAAGTTCCTGTTTCTCAAAAATAAATCCCATATCTTCATAATCTAGGATCTGGAACAAACTCCCCCCCAGAAGTGGTGCAAGCACCTACTCTGGACTCTTTCATAAAACAGACGGATATATTTCTTGCTGGAGTCACTTGATCCCAGCTGACTTCTGTCCTATGGCGGGCGGGCTGGACCTGATGATCTCATGAGCTCCCTTCCAGCCCCTAATGTCTATGAAATCTATAATGTTATATTCAAAAGGTCAAAGGTCCTTCAGAGTCCAGTGGCCCATAGGGCTAGCACAGTTGAGGCCCTCCAGGTTGAGAAGCCAATAAGGAGCCCCACGCCCCACAGTCTTTGACTCCCCCACCTGAATGACGGGTGCAGCTGAGTCAGCTGGCTCAACTTTAGCACAAACCTGGCGTGGGGCTCAAGCTGACGCCTCTAGAGCAGTAGCAAAGTATCTTAACCTTCTGCCCCAAGACTCTTGTGATGCATATCCTTTTTGAGAATGACCAGCACTGAGCAGCAGTCATGTTATTTGCGTCAGCTGGCCATAGCTGGTGGTTCTTGCTTCAGCTGGCCATAGCTTCCTGCAGCGTTGGCCAATATTTTCACAGTCATGTCACCACTGTGACTTTGTTGTCATCTCTAAGACTGTAGTTTAAAAAAAAATAAATAAATTGAGAGGTTTGCGTCCTATTAAGTCAATGGATTTATGAACCGTTGAGATTATTTTTCCAACTGAGTAGTTCACATTATTAAACGCTGCAAGAAATAACACGATCCTTTTTAAAATTGGAGACACTGCAGGTGTATCAAAAGGTCACTGTTGAGTAACTCTGGCATTTCTCTGTAATTTAGAATGCCAGCTGGAGCAAAGCAGAACTTCTTCCCTAATTATTATTAATGGTTTGGTTAATGGAGGGAAAAGTTGAAGGCTAGGGCTGGAACTATTTTTGGAAGCAATATTGTTGGAATCAGAATTTCCATATAAAATATGATGGTGGGGTTTTTGCATCAGTTAAAGCCAACACATTAGTGCTGTCTGGCCAGGTCCTTTGTCCTATCTTGACATAAGCACTTCATTTTTTTTATTGCAGATCCAGCTGCGGAAGTAACACTTGGCTCTAGATGAAGTTTAGATTAGGGTTTGAGAGTCAGGTCCTGAAACCAGATTAGGGCTTGAGTTTGAATTCAAACAGCACTGAAATCTCTCAAGTGGTTGTCAAATGATTTTTGCTTCAGATACCTGAAGTCTTTTGAACTCAGCTGATAATGCATCAGAGCCTTCTGTCTTCTCAAAGGGTGGAAAAATCACAATATTATCCATTACTCTAGGCCAGGCCAGGAAAAGAGGGAATTCTTCACTCTTCTATAACATCCCAGCACTCACTAAATCCGGATCTCGCTGGTTGAGTGGTGAGAGTAGGTATTCTTGGCCTTTTGTGGCTGCAAGGGTTGATAGCAAATATTAAAATTACAAGCAAGGAAGAGTATATGTAGTGGTTCATGGGGGGAGGGTTAGGGCCTTATTTAGAAAGCATTTTGGGTTTTCTAAAGAATTTTCTTGTGTTTAAATCTGTCCCCACTTCTGCCTGCCTCTGGTTATAAGCTTTTAATCATGTCTACACATGTTAATTGCCTTCAATTTCTCCCCCTCCCCCCTTTCCATCCCTCCTTTATTTGTCATCAAAATCATAACAAGCATCTTTGTATCTTTTGGGACTCTGCATGCCTTAGATGTTTTACACAGATCTTCCAGAAAAAAACCCAAACCCAAAATGTACAGGATTTTGTTAATGATTGATGCCATTATGTGGCCTAATTATTATGGAGCAGGGTGTTTAGTAATATGTATAATTTCTTCCTGTTTATGACCAGATGTCAAACTCCTAAAGTATTCAAAGTCTTAATTAGGAATGTAAATGGTGTTCAGTGGACAAATGTACAGAAATGAAATGATGTTCTGACCTGGCTTGTGTATATGTTTTTCCCACTTTCGCAGACTGCAATGCAATTGTTCACAAAGGCTGCAAGGAGAGCCTGGCTTCATGTGCAAAGGTCAAAATGAAGGTAAGAGGTTTCGTGTTCTCTGCTGAATGGGAGGGCTATGTTAAAATGCAGGTATGGAGCGTCTCCCGTACTAGTCCCAGGAATTTCCAGTTTGCCGGGCAGAAACTTCAGTACCTAGCATTACGGGGATGGATTTCCTTAGGCTCTCCTAAAATTTATAACCGTCATCCAGAGTGAGAGCTGATATGTAAACGGGAAAAGTCTTAAGGCAGTTTGAGGGATCTGCACAAAGGGTGAGGGTAAGGACTGAGATGTGAAGCTAAGCAAAGAAATAGGTGGGTATGCCATCTCCCTCTGGTGATGGTCTCCAGAAATAGTGACAGTCTGCTAGTGCTGTCATGACTGTGGGTGCTTGAGTGGCAGATGTCTGGTGCAGAGCTAAAGGATCCAGCAATGTTGGTGAATTCCACCTGGTAGAATATCTATTTTGGGAGGGGGAGGGCACATTCGTAATAACGTTCAGAAGATGCACACACAAGTCCACACACACTAAAAGAGCATTAATGTTACAAAGTGAGGGGCTCAAGAATTTGGAGTGCCAGGGTTCATGTGGTCTGTCCAATCTTAATTTGCTCATCTTGCGTATATGAGTTATAACTGTCCTTTACAGTTGCACACATCTGTGAAAACTGTTGTGTCTATGTTCTGGTTGGATGGTGCTCAATGAGTGAATCAATGCCACATAGCCAAAGTGGATGCATTTTTGTAGGACCTCTGCCTTGTTTGTTCTAGATATAACGTAGAGAATGAGGCGTGGGATTGTAGGAAGAGAACAGATTGTTTCAAGTCCCCTTAAGCATTAGGGGTACCTATACATGAGCAGCAAGGCTGCTCCAACGCACTGTAATTACAGCACATCAGAGCAAACTCAGTTAATCGAGTCTGCTGGAGTGTGGTAATTAATTACCAGCAGCCTCCGCTGTCTCCTGTATCAGCATCTGCATGCTTAAAAATGGCCATTTTAAAGCACATAGATGCTGATACATAAGACACTTCAGGTGCTGGGCTTTTCCAGTGTGGTCACTGCCTTTCTTCAGAATACAGATGTGGAGCATCTTCTGCACAAGGCCTTCCCTGTAATTGGTCCTCCCCAGTCAGAGGAGCACTAGGCCTGCTGGTACAGGCACTGAGAGCAGGAAGACTGGGACATCCTAATCAGAAATCTGACTTTTCTCCTCTAGCCTCACAACCTAAGGAGCGCCTGGAGAAAGAGGTAGCAGGCCGTCTGGAGTGCATCAGGGTGAAAAGCAGGGCGTAGAAGGGGATGAGCAGGGAGATAAAATGAAACAAAGTACTGATCAGATAAAGGATCACAGTCTGTATGCATTGAATGAAGCAGAGATCTTTGGGAAATAGTAGTGTGGGATGATGTAGTTAAAGACAGAAGTATAACACGCATCTACAATAGGGCACATTCTCCCTTAATTGTGGCATTTCTTAACAGTGGAGTGCTTGATTTTGCTGCTTAGCATTTCTTTTAAAATAGTGATTTGTGCAATATATAATGGTTCTTGATGAATATCGTTGTCCAATATACAGACAGCCTTTATCCAAGTTCATCAGCCTACCATGCTTTTCTCATTTAAGTTTGTCATCTCTTTTTTTAAACAGATGAGCTGTGGTTGGGAGGAGGACTCTTTTTTGTATTAAGATTAGAGTTAAAAAAATAATAACCCTTCCTGTTATGTATAATGCTACCTCCATGAATTTTTAATAGACTTTAATAATCTTGCAGTATCAGCCCTTTCTTTTGTTTTCTTTCCTTTGTGTTGCAAGTGCTTCTCTATCTGTCATTATGTACAGTCCAATGACTTGGATTTCACCCCCAAGCTGACAGCAATGCCATATGCTAGTGCCCAGTGTGCTGTGTCCAAAGTCTAAGCAGTTCTGAGAAAATTCAGATCTTAGTAGCTGTATAATGAAAACTAAAAAGTATCTATAGATAAGCAAAGGCCTCTACTCCTGTTAAGTGAAGAAATTAAGTCTATTTTCTTTTTCTTTCAGCCACAAAAAGGAATGCTGCAGGCACATGATACCTCATCATTACCTGCAGTAATTATGAGAAACAAACGTAAGCCTTTTCTTCTCTTTTTTCCCCTGATGTTCCTCCTTAAAAGCTGCTAATTTTTTATCGTTATCTTTAATTATTGTGATCAAGCAGTATTGCACAATTTAGTACAAGGAAAAACATTTTATGATACAGGGAAGAGTTATCTATTCTGTGCACAGAAAGCAATGCTTAGGATTTTAGAGGTGGTGACTGTAATGAGCAAACAGCTTATACTTTTCTGTGCTATCTGAATAATCTTAAATTGATTTAAGGCTGTGATGAAGTGTTGGAGATGAAGTGCTTTCTAGTCATCCAGTTCCATTTAGGTGATTTGGAGAAGCTGGAATCTAGTCATGGCTGGTCAACTGAAAATTTCCCTGGGTTAGTGAGTTTTTAACTGGAACAGAGGCATCATAGTTGTTGTGTGGGTGAACTGATATCTCACCATAGTGGAAGGGGAAAATTAAGGATGGAGCAAAGCAGCAGAACTCTGCAACTGTTCAAGTGGTGTTAGGGACAATATCCTCTCGGGTGTAATTTTAAAATAGCCCGTAGGCTCCTCTGACTTGCATTGAAGCTAACGTCATGTGAAACAAGAATGGCTGCCAATAACTTCTTGACATTGGAAAGAGTAAGCATTAGTGTTTTGTTAGTGTAGATTGCCAGGTTATTCAGGACCAAAGAAAATGTATAAAACAATGGTTAAACCAAGTTTTTTATTCAAAAGCCAAGTTAAAATGAATAGGATCATTCCAAACCGTGCCATCGGAAGGAGCTGTTCCTTGTTGTTACTGCCAGGCAGAGCAGCAGCACCCCACTAAGCACCAGAAAACCTGAACAGGGAGAAAAAGAAATGGTATATAGGAACTAGGAAAGGTGTCTGAGGATGTACCCAGGTCCTTCAGCATAACTGTAGTAAGGATGACATGGGATGGATATTTTTTCTGCGTTGTGCGAGCATAAAGTTAAAGAAGCCACCCCAAGAGAGTTCAGGGCATATCAGGGGTGAGAAGAGCTGTGCACTCAAGGAAGTACAGGTTGTGTTGCTTATTCAGTTCAACTGAATAAAGTTCTCCACTTCCCAAGAGAGTGGTTAAGGGATTGTGTATTCTACCTGGCTCTCCCTGTCAGGCCATGGGTAGCACAGGCAGAACAGGGAAGAGTTCAAAGTTCTTCCTGTGTCCCTTTGGAAAGCACGGGTGTCCAGTGTGGTCACTACTTCTCTGCATAGGAATATGAAGGAACAAACTGTCCGTCATTATTTCACAAAAAATAATGGCGGACAGTGCATCATCTTTTTTCATTTTTTTTTCCCCAGTAGTACATTAGAATTTAATTATACTCAAGTGTATTCACTCTCAAGAGGCTGGAACCAATACAAACCATCTTGCCGCGCCTTGTAGGCTCCATACTTTTCCAAAGATATTGGTGGGGGGTAGGAGGGAAGAAGCTGTAACAAGTGGGCATCTCAGGGCTGGTCGAGTTGGCCCACCCGCTTGTTTCTGGGCTAACCGCCCTCCTACCTTTCCTGCTATGGCTTTGGTGAAATATTTGAAAGTTGATAACAAGGCAGGAAGCTGCCCATTTACTTGCCCTGATGCCAAGGGCCTATACATGGCTCCGACCTCCTCTTATACTGCATCTCATGCCTCACAGATGGCATCCATGGCCTAACACCTAGCCTAAATTTGCATGGCCTAATACTCAACACATAATCCTGTGCCCTCACACTGGGACCTGCGCTGCAGTGCCTCACACTGGGACTCTCACTCCTATGCCCTCACACTGGGGTCACAATCGCACTCATTTGGGGCTCCCAGCCCTTCCCTTTTCCTTGGGCTCCCTGCCTGGTTTGGGACCCTCTTGGTCCCCTCGCCCCCCACAATGGGGTCTTAATCCCCTTGCCCGACACTGGGCCTCAATCCCCTTGCTCGTGGAGCCTCACACCCAGCTCCTTCTTGGGGCTCAGAATCCCACCCCCCTTGGCCTCAGGAGCCACCACCTTCCCCATAGCTCCTTCCCTGTACCTCCAAGATGTTGCATGATCAGCAGCTTCAGCTGGGTGATGTCCTCCCCTTGGCTGCTAGAAGCAAACTGTGGGCTGTATCGCTCAGGGCCTGCTTTTATCACCAACGGCTGGGCCCTGTTCCCAATCAAGCAGTTGTGCCTGATTGGGAGTGCAGCCACCTGCAGGCTGCTCTGCTGCTCCCACGCCCCTGTGACTAACAGAGCACAACTTGTGCTTGCTTACAGAAATCTAATCCTAAAATTGTACTTCAGCAAAATTCTCAAAGTGAATGGGAAAGTTACCTTGATTAGGATTTCTTAATGGATCTTATGTTAAAATTGGTTTGGAGGGAGATCAGATTTCAGCAGCGCTATGACCGTGCATAGCTGGAAATCTGCTCCCAGAAGCGGGGGTTCCCAAACTATGGTCCTCATACCCCTGGGGGTATGCAAGACATGTCTGGCGGGTACATGGGAGAAATTGGGTAATAGCAGATTTAATTTTCATTATATTAATACCTAGCATTTAAGGGGTTAATGTAAAATATATGCTGGTGGGGCATGCAGGCAGCTGGTAAATCTGGATGAGGGTATGCAAGAAGAAAACGTTTGGGAACCTCTTCCATAGTGGAAGTGCATTGTACACTGTGATTTGGTTGAATCATCCTGTTGAGGTTAGCAAGGAGATGGGATGGCATCTAATCAGAAATCTGACTTTTCTCCTCTAGCCTCACAACCTAAGGAGCGCCCCCGCTCTGCAATACTTGCCCCTGATGAAAACACCGTCACCTCACTGTTCAATAATAGGAGATCACAACAGAGCACAGCACTTTCAAAAAGCGTCTCAATACAGAACATTGCTGGGTAAGGGTTTTTTTCTCACCGTGAAAAAGCACAGCAACTGCACTCTGAGCATAGTGAAAGCTGTACGTTATTTCCTGTTTTTTTAAGAATAATCTGTGTGTGCATTTCTGTCTATATAGTTATAAAGCATGTTTTCCTATACAGAAATGCAAGTCTTACATTGAGCATGCTCAAAAGGAATAAGATACTGTGAGAAACATAACTTAGATTTCCTGTCTACTGTGAGTTTCAGTTTTCAACAGTTTGCAAGTTATGGACCCATTCAGATCTCATGATAATAAAAGCTCTATGACCCACATTATCGTTATACATACAGAAGGTTGATATAAAGGAAGCATTTCTACAAAAATACGTTCTCATTTCCATTTTTCGTAACACCAGTGATTTTAAAATATGCTCTGGGGTGTGTATTTGTAGAGGTGTGAAAGGGATTATCAAAAGGCTCAATGTGGGAGGGAAAAAAATATCTACAAGTTTAATTTCATATCCAAATCTTAAGATGGAATGCATTCAGCTAGACACAGGCTTGTATAGGCTCCCTTGGGAAATTTCCAATCTTTCTTAGCATCACTGGAAATGGAAAAACAGTAACTTGAACAGCACTTCATACTATGTTTTGGCTTAAATCCTATCCCAGCTAAAATAAGGAGCTAGGTGGCAATACAAACAGGGAAAAATACTTCAAAGATTTGCTATGTTTTTAGGAAATGCCCAGTTCAGTTAGAATTTGAGGTGATCTAGTTTGCTGAATCCTAATTTGTTGTTATTAGCAATAAACATACATAACAACACTACATGCCTTCAGTACCTAAGCTTGTGCGTAGCTAGACAACATTTATGGCAACTTGCAGAACAATTGTCTGGCTGTCAGAGTCCTGACCAGTCTTGTGTTTTCTTTTTGTCTGCAGAGTTGGCAGTGAGGAAAGCTTAATAAATAATTGGAAATACCTGTCGCAGTCAACAGACTCTTTACATAAAATCAGCCGAGTGAATGAATCCACAGAGTCACTCATTGATGAGGGTAAGAAATCCCAGTGGTATTAAGATAAACAGAAAAGCATCACCAGCACATGGAAGGTCTCAGTGTTACTTGCTAGAAATGCAAAATCCATTAAATGTGTTTTGAAATCAGTTTTCTTTGACAGAGAGTTAAAGCCTTTAGTTCCTTTTACTTTAGAAAATGTCGACAATAAAATAAAACATGGGCCCATTGAGTAATTTCTTTATAGAAGAGACCATTTTAGCGAGTTCTAATTGGGAGTGGGAGTGGGGAGGGAGACACAAAGGGTTTCATTTACATTTCAGTGACTTGGCTCTTTATAGTTTAGGAGTGGATCTTTCCTCTCTAGTCTTCTTTCATAGTTCTGCTTTTCTGGTCCATTCATCTACCTGCCCTACACATTTTACATATTTTCTTGTCAGTATGTTCCAAATAGAGTTTAATTTGTCCTTTTTAGTTAAAATAATGAACCTAGTGTAATTCAGACTAAGAATAAAAGTTAACTTTTAAGCAGAGAGTTTTCTAAGTTATAATTTAGTTTTTAAACAGTTCATGTGGTAGCTGACACTGAGCAGCAAGATACAGAATGGGCTTAACTCAGAAGGAACCAAACGAGAGAGACTTTGGTAGCAGGGAAATTTCCCAACTGCCTTGAATTCTTGCATATTTTGTTCAGGGCATGATTTATTTGGAAATAGGTTGGTACTGATGCATATAATCTTACACTCTAAGACCATGGTTTTCTTAGCTTCAAACTACAAGTTTTACAAATCTCTCTTTAACAGTTTTGTTAGTTTACTGGTATAAACAAAGAAAGACAAATAGCACTTTAATTATTATGCAGTTATGTCGAAAATACAGTTATTTTTTTCCAGTCTTTAAGCTACAGTTCAATCTACCTGGTAATTGTGGACTTGTGTAGCGCAACTACCATGTAACCTAGAAAAGTACTTTTCCTTACCAGACTTGCTGAGTACAGTTCCATGTATTGACGGTTCCATGTACGTGGAGTATTATCTCCATGTCAGTAGTCAAAAATGTGTATGATGTTCACAGCACTCATGGCAAAACCTTAAACCTCAGAATACCTAGTAGAAATTTCAAATAGGGGCAGTCATCCGTGTCTTCATAACTTATGTTGCCTTTATGCAGGTACAGACATGAATGAAGGACAGCTGATGGGGGACTTTGAGTTAGATTCCAAGCAGTTGGAGGCAGAGTCGTGGAGTCAAGTAGTGGACAACAAGTTTATGCGTCAGCAAAAGAAAGATGTTGTCAAACGGCAAGACGTCATTTATGGTGAGACGTGCAGTCGTTATAAGAGACTTTGTTTGACTGCAGGAACCTTCTGTTTTGGAACAGTTATTTGGTATTGTTTTTTTCAGTTCAAGAATAATTTGGAAACTTTAATTTTAATGAAAATGTTGACACTTCATGAGACCCAGAAATAAAGTTCTCCAGTGCCCTTTTGTCAGCTTTAGCCACCTATCTCTCACTCGCCTTGAACGGTGCAAACAAACTGTGTTCCCCAGTTTCTGTTGCACACCTTTACACTCAGTTACCAGTGTGTTCAGAGTAGTTAGTTGTATTTGTTTTTTCACCATCTTGATACAAGAATCCTAATGCATTGCACTGCAGTGATCTGACTGTGTGGTTGTTACTGTTGTGTCCCTCTGCAGTGTTCAGATTCTGTTAATAATATAGATATTCCCAGAAATAAAGAGCAGAGATAGATGACTGGCTCCAAGCTATGCCATTAGTAAAATTCCTATATTCACGTCTGAAAATTCCTGACATTTGGAAAACCGCTAGCCTCAAGCACTTAGTAGCCAATTTTTCTAGTGATCTGTCAGTCATCCATCCATCTCCTTATTGGTCATATTCTGTTATAATGATGAACTACCACTCCTTCCATACAGCTATTCTCAAGGTTATTTTTGTCTTTATGGGCCAGGACACGCAATGTGTTTCTATCACTGTGATTGAGCCTTTACACCAGTGTTAGCAAGGAATAGACAGGTGATATAAACTCCTAAAAGATTCAGGAGTAAAACTATACTAATGTAAATTATGCTGGGATAGTCATGAACACATCCACAGCTTACCCCAGAGTAGCCATTTGCTCAGTGCAAATAGGTTATAACCAACTCCCCTGCCACCTAGTGATGAGGTATGGTAGTGGCAGCCCATGATCTGCTATTTTAGGATAAGCTTATGCATTCTCCCTTTCCTATCCTTGTGCAGTTTACATTCATGTACAAAACAGATGCACCAATGTAAATAGCTTGTGTCCAAGCCCTGATGTGATGAACCATGCTACCCTGTGCTCTTTAAAAATAAAATATGGTTTACATTACTACTGTATGCAGTACCTAGTAAGAGAGGAAAAAACAGTCCAGCTGCAGTGTGTTGGAGCCCAGTATCCTGTCCTGACTGCATTGTAAGCGGAGCTTTTTCCTAGTTCACATGTGTACGTCCTTTCAGTACGAGTAATATCAGAATGGGGAAATATGTCCTGTGACATTTAAGTTAACTTAATTCACCAAAAAGATTCCTTCTAACCAGCTTACTCTGACAATGGCATTTCCTTGGCTTCGCAATGCGCTACGGGTAGTACAGCACTCTAGAAGATGCTAATAGCATAGTGCATCATGATGGCACCTTACATGCTTCCTTTGTTGGCCCTGTCTCCATCCTATTCAGAACTGATGCAAACAGAGATGCATCACGTCCGAACGCTGAAGATCATGAGTGATGTCTACAGCAGGGGAATGATGCAGGAACTGCAGTTTGAACAGCAAACGGTAGAAAAGGTCTTTCCTTGCCTGGATGACTTGCTGAACATCCACAACCAGTTCTTCCAGCGGATTCTGGAGAGGAAGAAAGAGTCCCTGGCGGACAAAAGTGAAAAGAACTTTGTCATCAAGAGGATAGGAGATATCCTGGTGAATCAGGTAAGTGATGGAAAACACCTGCATGTTCTGAGCACGGAGCCAGAAGTTGGGTATTCTCGAGTTCCAGATTCTAGTTTCCCCTGACCGGCTCTGTGACCGTGGGCATGTCACTTCACCCCTCTGTTTTCCCTCCATCCCTTTGTCTATTTTATCTACTTAGAATATAGCCTCAGTGAGGCAGTTTTCAGAGTATTAGTACAGTGGGGCCCCAATCTCAGTTCTTTATGTTCCCTGGTATTACGTTTTTCATTACTTGGCTTTAGAAAACTTCTGATGTGGCCTGCATGTGAGCTGACAGCATCCCTTCAGTTGATGGATGCATGATGGCAGGTTGAAATCCCCAAAACCTAGTGGGATCTATCATGTTGCTTGTCTCTTGCAGTTTTCTGGTGAGAATGCCGAGAGAATGAAGAAGACGTACGGCAAATTCTGCGGGCACCACAATGAGGCCGTGAATTATTTCAAAGACCTGCTCTCCAAGGAGAAGCGGTTTCAGGCATTCATCAAGGTAAGAGCCAATGGGAGATGTATTGGCAAGGCCAATAGCATGTCCTTGCTGCACGTTGGCATCCACAACACTTTACTTCTCATCTTTTCTCAGAAAAAAATGAGCAGTGCAGTGGTGAGGCGGCTTGGCATTCCTGAGTGCATCTTGTTAGTAACGCAGAGGATCACAAAGTATCCAGTACTACTGCAAAGAATATTAGAATACACCAAAGGTGGGTGCCCTTTCCTCCTCCTAATCACTTGTTGATTCCCTCTAGAGCTCTCCTCAAGACTTTTTCTAGTAAAACTGCTCTCAGCAGAGCTGGCCAGTGCCTAGCACTGCTGGGATTAGAAACCAAGGTTTCATAACTTTATTCAGGATTCCATTCCTCGAGCCTGATGTTACTGCAATGGTAGCGTGCACCAGCCCTGTGGGGAAAGGAGTACTTTCATATAGAGAGTGTAACAGCAATCTCTGGCTAATTGTGCAGCAGCATTCATAGACTGCAGAACCTCTTAAATCCTAGCTGTAATATAATGCCTGAAGATGGAGGTTCCTCAGAACTGCAGTAGAGCAGTCCCTCAATCTCCCCTCCACCCGAGAAATGCTGGGCAGCACATGCTTGCCATGTTCCTGGCTCACTCATTTTGAAAGCAAAACCGTTCAGTTCAACATATAGCCTGCTTTCTATAATCTTCTGGTGTGGTCTATTTATTTTCTAGACAAGCCCTTTATCAAGTAAGGATGAGGGATGACTATCTGGATTGCCCTCCTTAAGTTACAGCAAGCTTCAGAGCTGCTTTTTATTATAGGGTATCACTCACAAAAATCCTGTGGCAAGTGATATATGCATATTACCGTCTGTTCTTTTGCTAGTGGGTATGCATCCTGAAGATACAGCAGCAGACATTCATCAAGTAATGGCTGTATCTAGCCACCGTGTCTTGTTTTATAATCAATTTCTTTCGAAAGTTTTCAGGGCTTTTTGTTCGCCTGTTTCATAAAATAACAGTCTATTCACAAGGGGCTGTCTTGTTGGCTATTATTCTCTATAATAACGCCTCAGACAGTGGCCTGTCCCATTACCATGGTTTATATAAAGAATGGAATTTTATTTGTAAAGTGAAAGGTTTATGTACTGTAACTTCATTGAGAATGGGAACCAATGGGAATTTCACTGCTACCCTGATGGCTCATTAATAATCCAGGCAATTAAAACATTCTTAACAAACATTATTGTTACTTCACTGATTATTTTTAACAGCTTCTGACACTCCAAAATAGCAGCACTTTATGACCACACAAATGGTCAAGCCCCTATGCAAAATGGATGCCTGCTCATTTGTTCCTCGTTTGACTAGTTGACTGAGTACCTGAAGAGATGGAGGGCATGATTTTTGTTTGTTGCCCTAGTCTCCCATGACTTAGAGTGTATTTTCTACCATTTCCCTTCATTGGGGTGATGCATCTCAAAGGTTATTTTGGGTTTTTTTTTGAGAAATAAAATGAAATCTGGCTCAAGAAGGCATGCCTCTTTGCATTTTATTGTTTATGACTTGATCAATAGAGCGAGGGGACAGCCAAAAAGTCAGAAGGTAGGCTCTCTTCGTTTGCAGTAAGGCTGAATTGAAATGAAATTTTCTCTCTTCCCTTAAGAAAATGAAGTGGAACACCAACACTTGACTCAGTCGTTAAACCTGGTCAAGGATGTGATTGCTGCTGTGAACAGCAAAGTCAGCAATTATGAAAAGAAAATGCGTCTCAGTGAGATCTACACCCGGGTGGACAGCAAGTCCATCATGAGGATGAAGAGCGGCCAGATGATCGCCAAAGAGGACTTGAGGCGCCGAAAACTCATCCGCGACGGGCCTGTCTCACTGAGGAATGCAGCTGGGAGGTTGAAAGGTAAGAAAGCCCTGCAGATTGTGCGTCTGAAGGATACGACTCCCAGCTCCCAGATGAAGGCAGGGCTCTCATCATCTGGCCACTTGCAACCTTGTTTGTTCCTTTCCCTTCAGTCTAGAATTACTCTGCCTACTGCAGTAGGTTTCCCTTTAAATCACTGGCCTAATTATTATTTTCATTGTATTTCTTTTTTTGCATTTGGAGAAACACTCTCGAAGTAGAATCATTACATCTTCCCCTCGGCTCCTGGTAACATCCTGAACTAACATTGCATGCATTTCTATTGTCTGCTAATGCTTTCCAGTGATTCTGCTTGTTCATTTTCCAAGTTTGCCTCCTCTTTGAAACTGAAACCAAAACTGATCCTTTTCACTTTACTTCTCAGGAATTAGCCTGGTGTTCTTGGTTTGAGCTCTTCTTCAGTAGCTTAAATTGAGCAAATCAATTTACCAAAAAATGTGAAAAAAGAATTCATGAGAACCATTATGTTCACATTAGCCTGGTACTAGGTCTGCCAGCTTGGACGTACCTTTTTGCATACTAGATCTGAAGTTGATTTGGGGTGTCCAGTACCAGCATGACAGGTGACCAGCACCACTTTGGACTTTTTCTGAGCCAAACAAAGGCTCAGTTGCAGTGAGTAGTGCACTAAAACAACTCCTACCTAGCAAAGGGAATTCTTGATCTCAATTATCTTAGCTCTGTTGACAAGCAATCACAGGAGCTTGTAACAAAGCCAGTCACATGCTCCACCGGGCTTCTCCTGAGTCTGGGAGCAAAATTAATAAAGAGGGGGGAAGAAAAAGTGGAAAAAAAAAATCAGGTAGCAGCAGGATCCTGTGCTGCCACTGAACATTTGTGTTTGATGTTCACTGAGCACTTGCAGCTCAAGGGCACCCCAGCACATTATAAATGCAGATGCTATATGAATACCTTGAGCATGGAGACCAGCGGGATGCACTGGCTGCAAGGCAGTGAAACATTTGGGTTCTGAAATGTCTCCAGGCAGTAGGCTCGCTGCATCGGAAGCCAAACCACTGACACTCCCAGGTTTGTTGCTCAGGACCAGCAGAGCCATCACCATTTCCATATCTGTGCAGTCCTGCATCGCTACTGTCCAGAGCCACCATTGCTTTCTCTGTTGCACCTAAATCCCCAATGTGCCTTACCAGACTCTTAGGGCATGGACAGATGTACAAATTACAGAGATAAAGGGAAGAGGGGAGGCAGAGTCGCTGTTCTGACTGCCCCATGGGTTTCATGGGCCTGCTGCTATCCCACGTGAAACCTTAACCAAAGCAGTTTACCCCTGAGTGAGACAGGACTAAGTCACCAAAGTTGAACTTTCTCTTGATCTGGGATAGGAACAGATGTGTAAATAATTACTACAGCGCAGCAAAGACATGGTAAGCCTTTTGCCCATTCCTGACCGTAGCTCAATATTTGTCTATCCCGATAATTTCTCTGAAGCATTTCCTGAGCTGCTGCTCCAAACCAGTGAGTTTTTCTGTTTTCCTCATGTCCCTTCAGCTGCCTCAGTATGTGTCATTGGCACCGATTTCTGGATCTCTTGAATTGATTTTCATTCAGTCAGCAATGTAAATCACTTTGTGAAGGCACTGTGCTTCCAGTACAGCCAAGCTTCATGCTTAAGTGCTTTGCTGAATTGAGGCCTAAAACATTAAGGTAGGACTATGTTGTTAATTCGTCCTCCATGAGAAGCAGCTGCCAAAAGCAGCCAACACTATTCCACGCGCATCCGAGATCCTGGGCTTATTTTCCTTATCCACCTTTCTCAATTATATAAGCCTTGATATTGGTAAGTGTGGAGTTTGGGCATCGGTCTGTGGTGTGTGTGAAAAAGGTCTGATACGTGGAACATTATAAGGTTGTATCTTTCAGTAATATCTTCTGGAAGCGGAAGAGTTCGTACCTGTGCATTCCCGCAAAGGGAGGATCATTTATCAAATTCCAAATATAATATGATTTACCCTAAGGGTCTGGAGAAAAGAAAGTTTAAAGATGGTTTCTAGGTTCCCAGGAATGTACTCACTTTGAATGGTGGGTGAGGCACGTTCTATTACTATTACAAAATCTCACAATGAGTACAGAATATATGGCACATTGCCAATAGAAAAAATGGCTTGTGCTTCCCCTAAGTCCATAGTAAGATGTCCCGGTTAGAGGTGGTCTTGTACAAACCGTCCATACAGGTGCAAACGTGTGAGAAGTTCCAGGTGGAAGAGTGTCCGCAAGTCCAGAAGTTGCTTATCTTAACTTCTGGGGTATGGAAATGGATCCAGAATTAGCATGGGAATAGGTTTCCTCGAAGTATTTCAGTTCTTCCTAAGCTGCAGGAAGAACAGAAAATGTAGCAATGCGTGGAAATAAAAACAAAGCAACATAAAATGAAGATCACCAAACTTTTCCAAGCCTCCAGAGAAGCCCGTGTTTGCTTGGAAGCTCTGGCAAAAGTTGAGTTAGTGGTTGATCTGAAACAGATTCTCTTGTTCACAAAATGAAATGGAAAGAATTATCGTGGGATGAGTAAACTTTTGGGTTTACCTCATCTGTGTCACACGATCTCCAAGCACGTTACACAGAAGCTCTTTGTGCTGCAGTTTTGGGTGGGGCAGCACACTCAGTAGTTACTGTTTAATCTTGTGATGTATCATGAGGGGACTTGGAAGATAGCATATGTGTGTTAAGAAAATAACCTGAATTCACTTCTTTACGTTGCTTTCCTTTCTCGCATGAGAACCAGGTTCTGCCCTCTGATACAGATCAAATTGGCTGTGCTTGAATTGAGTGAGAGCCATGTATATCTGTGGGCAGAATCAATATCAGCTGCTCAAGTCAGATTCTGGGGAAAAAATTGCAGCTGACAAGTATTGTTGCAAGACAATTTGCACCCTATAAAGTGTTCGTCAAGAGAGCCATCGGCCCAAAACTTCCTGTGCAGATGTTTTGCTTGAGGACAAATATTGATTGCGTGAATGAACAGTGCTTATGTTCAGAAAGTGTCCAGAGGTTGCACTGTCTCTTGCTTGCAGGATTCTCACAGCGCTCGTCATTTGGAAAAGATCATCTCAGCAAGTGCTTATAGTTTGGATAAAATTTCCTCTGAATCCTTTCAGAGGTGACTCTGCATTGCCCAGCTGAGTTACTGTGGGGGTTATCTAGGCCTCCAGCTTCCCATGAACTAAACATGTTGCTAGGACAGTGTTTACAGCTCCTTTTTCCTAGGAAGCAAAGTAAGACAGATATATATTTGCAAAACAACCCCAAATATTTACTCACATGCTCATTAGCAGCCAGAACGCCTCATATTGCTAAAGAAAAGGTATTGGTTGGCTTGGAATCGGTGATCGATATAAATATAGATGTTTTGTGGACTTTCTTTTCCTGCAGAAGTCCAGGCTGTCCTCCTCTCAGACATCCTGATCTTCCTTCAGGAGAAGGACCAGAAGTACGTCTTTGCCTCACTGGTAAGGGTTTGGCATTTTCTTTTCCTTTCTTTTCCATGTGTGGTTCTAGGGCAGTGGTTCTCAACCTTTTTAGACTCCAGCCCCTGGTTAGGAAATGCCAGCTCTTGGTTTTCACTTGTCCTTAGCTGCGGGAAAATAATAGGCCAGTTCTGTTGCAAAGAACTCAGAAAGGTCACAGCAGGCCACACTGTCTTTAGCACTCTGGATTCCATACAAAATCTCTGGGTTTACCTTTTGAGTCCTATTTGCACACCTAACAGTGTGAATGCTGCATGGCATCCCACAGCACCCTTGAGAGGATCTCAAGGCACCCCAGGGTGCCACAACACTGGTTGGGAATTGCTGTTCTAGTTATATATTGAACAGCCAAAGAAGTCACTGCCCACTGCATCTCTTAGTTCTTAGTGAATGGAACGTCTTGTATTTTATAAAAATGTTATCCATGTATCCATGGCAGATGTGGTTATTTGCTGTTGAGAGCCTGTCTTATTCCCTGCCTCATTTCCCACCCCTCAGTGATTTCTACAGTGCCTTGGAACTCTTGATAATTAGCTCTGAAAATAAACCTGTCACCGAATATGGTTCCTCTTCTTCAGCCTGTGCAAATCATGCTTGTTCACACTAAGGGTGGGAAGAATGTAAAAATGAAAGAGCAGAAAGAACAGACTTAATAAATGTCAAAAGGCAAAGGAAAGAAAGCCACCTGGTGCAAGGAAGTCTTGAGAGCAGCTTTCAGATCAGTGTGCCACAGGAGTATGTTTGTCATGTAAAGAAAAAGCGCCAGTTTTAGGAGAGAGCCCTTGATAAAAGGCATGACATAATGAGGAACTGCCGCTGATCCGTCAGCAATGTGCCTGTCCTGCGTATGTCTGGGAAGAGACTTTCTCTGCTCCTCGTGTCCTTTCCACTTCTGAGCAGCATTTAGCACAGCTCTTCTAAAGTGCCAGGTGTCCTAAATAGGTACAGTCCTGCTGATACCATAGAGAGACCTGTCAGACTCTGCCTGCCAAACTTAACCCTAAGCATTTGATTGCACACAGATATTAGAGACCCCCTCAGCACGTTGCATATAATCATACATGCAGTCTCTGATGGACAGTGTCACAAGCCCTTCCTGATGGAAGTCAGCTATAAGCTACTGAAAACAATAAGGTCTGGGGTGAGGTTTGAAGAAGAAAAATGTGATTCTCTAGGGCTGTAGAAGGGGAAGCAAAAACTACAAGTGAAATAACTAGCAAACCCTATCAAGTGTGGAGACCTAGGTTAAAGAGCCCAGGACAGAAGGACAGGAAGTCAGAGCTTCTCCACCAACGTTAAGTTCCTGGAGAGTTTGAATGCCACAAAGGTGGTTTTGAATGGATTCAAGAACTGCATGGGATGATCTGGACTTTCTTTCTGAATCAACAAAGGAAGGTGGCAGGAGTTTTGTGTATTCAACTGAAGTTATTCTATGAATCTGTGTTGGATGAGACTGGCAGTTGTGTTTAGCCTGTGGTTGCACAAGATGCTTACAGGTTAGGAAGGAGGTCTAATTACAGGGAGTGGGAGCTTTTGAGCCCTTGAGACCAGGCAAAAGCTCTAGTGTTTTCTCTCTGTCTTCTCATCTATCTCCTCCCACCTATCCCTGTAGGACACGAAATCTACAGTAATCTCTCTGAAAAAGCTCATTGTACGAGAAGTGGCTCATGACGAAAAAGGCTTATTCCTCATTTCCACGGGAGTGCCCAACCCAGAGATGGTAGAAGTCCATGCCAGCTCCAAGGAGGAGCGTAATAGCTGGATACAACTCATTCAGGACACCATTAACACCATGTAAGTTAAGGAACTGTTCCTTCGGTTTCAGTGTCTCTCACCTTTTTCATAGTGGTAATTGCAATGTGTCCATCTCTCGTGCAGGGACAAGGATGAAGATGAAGGAGTTCCTAGTGAGTCTGAGGTGGAAAGGAAAGAGCTGGATGCCAAAGCTAAAGAATTAAAAGGTAAAGATGCCAGGACTGGAGAGCAGAGGTGGAGGAAGCTGTTGACAAACCTCTCGGACATTTTAGTGCTGGATTTTACAAGATCTTTTTATTGCTGCTTATCATCTTTATTTTTCAGGGACCTAGAATTCATACTGTATGTGAATGATAAAAGCCCTTTTTAGGAAGCAAATCTGTCTGGCTTGTTAGGGCAAGAGGTGCTGGCACAAAATAAAGCTTTGAACCTCCAAAGTTTCAGGTTCAGATTCCCGAAATCTGGAACCTACAATTTTTGGTTAGCCTGGAAATCTGAAAAAACATTTCCTCACCTCTTTATTGGGACTAAAACAGCACTGCTGCTGCTGAAGTACAAAAAAACCCAAAAAACAAAAAGCTAAAAACCCTCAGGTGGAAGAGAGGACTTCTGGTGGTGGGACTGTCACAACTGGCTCCCTCAGAGATGGCTGTCTTAGTATTCAGGCGTAGCATGAGTGAGCCCCTGGCACAGAGTTGATGTAGTAAGCATCCAACCTCTCATCTACCTTATCAGATATGCGTTCAGATTGTAATGGGTACCAGTAGCTTGCAGCTGTGAAGAGAGTGCATCTTGTGCCCTTGGCCAGTGCAGCCTAGGATGAGTGAAATATTTGGGAGAGGGTCAGAGTTCAGGTGCAAGTCATGCAAGGGAGCTACTGCTTTTGTAATGTTCACTCAGCAGCCCCTGTAGCTCCATTCCAGTGGCCCTCGGAGAGCCCTGCTTAGCTGGAGGGGTGGGCCTTGACCTGCAGTGTGTTTTGATCGTGGGAAGTAAGAGTAAAGAGGAAAGACTTGGAGCTGCCAATCATTGCTTCACCTGGCACTCGGATCAGCAGGCAGCACATGGCTCTTCCAGTACATACATCGCAGTCCTTTCCCATATGCAAGAGCTAATGCACTGTTGAAACTGAGCTTTGTCATGGGGTAACTGTCTGCTGCTGCCGGAGACGAGCTATAGGTTGTTGAAGCCTGAATGAATGAGCCTGGCAGACGCTCAGCTGTATTAATTTTTTATTTCTGAAATACCGAGTGACAAACGTCGCTGCAGAAGTTCTGGCTCTTGGCTGCCGTTCCAGTGTTGGGCATTTAAATGCAAAGCAGAAAGGCTGGAAGGGGAATGCAAGGGAGCTGATCCCGCCACAAGAAGAGTGCCGCAGCAGGGCTGCCAAGTTACTCCTGCCTAGGAGCAGGATACGAGTGCCTGACACCAGGCCTTTTTAGTACAGGGAGGAACTCCTAGGTCCCTGTTATCTCATTCTCTGCCTTTTAGCCTGAATACCTGCAGATGCAGCAGCAGGAATGTAGGGGTTGAGATCCATTCCCATTTAGGATGTAGAACTGTCCATGAGTCTGTCCCCTCAGGCACTGTAATAGCATGGGAACGTGTCCTGAAAACTAAGGAGGTTGGAAACTGCGCATAATTGTTGCTGTTCCAGAACGTGCCGCTGGGTGGAGCTGGTATCACAGGGATTATTCAGATTCCTTATCAAACCACAGCTTTTTAATCCAGGTTCCTCTGTTCACCCCACAGAACAGCTTCAGCAGAAAGATCAGCAGATCCTCACACTGCTGGAGGAGAAGGGGAAGATTTTCAGGGATATGACCGACTGCAGTGTGCAGGAAGATGGCTTGATCTCCAGAGTGCTGTTCAGAGCCAACACTGAAGAGGCACCCAAGGGGGAGAGCATTATGAAAAGTGCAATAAATGAGGGTAAGTGAGCCAGTATGTCGTATTAGTTACCTGCATCAATGTTCATAGCAGTTGTTTGGGGGAATCAGTCCTTACCCGGGCTTCACCCTGGAGTAAATCGACCTTCTTTCTTTGAAATGAGCTATAATCAGAACATAATGAACGTAAGCAAAGGTATATTCCCATCCCCCAAAAGGTGCTGAGGAGGAAAGAGATGCAACTCAGGAATGGAAGGAGCTAGTAATGACTGGTGGGAAGAAGTTAGGGAAGATATCTAGAAGTCTTCAGCACGGCTAGGAATTTTGCATAAAGCCCATGCTGGTTCAGGAAATGGTAGAGATATGAACTTGAAGCTCTTTGCCCACCATTCCCTGGCGTGTACTTTGGTATCTGGCTGCAGCCCAGGATCTGGTCTTTTGTGCGACACTTGGGCCATGCTGTCTTTGGCTGGCTCCGTTCAGCAATGTAGTGGAATGCAACAGGGAGGTTTAAGAGATTGTCATTGGGCAGCAGGAGGTGGTGGATCTGGTGAGCCAGTCAGTTGGAAAATCCACAAGTAGGTGAATCCTAGCCTAGCTTTCCTGTGTGAGATGCCCAGAAAGCTGGACCAGTCAATCCTGCAGGCTTGCAAACACATACTGATAGCACTTGGAGAGGAAGGGAGATGAGATGCTAATGTGAAGTTCAGTGTGCATGACCTGTGACCTGACTGTTGAATGGCTGCAGGTAGCGTGCTGGCATCTCCCTTCCTGCACAGCTGTCCTCTTTGTACAGACAAGCACATAAAGTTACTGACCCCGTCGTCTAGGCTTGGGGGAAACCATGCTGGGCTGTAAGTCTTGAGGATGTTCCTTAGCTGACCTTCTCTCATGTTGCTTCTTACCGTTTCAGTTGAGTTGTTGCAAAGCATGGTGAGCAGGAGTCTGGGGAGTGCGCTGGGACCACAGGTCAGCAGCCCTACCTCTGAGCAAGAAGGAGTCGGCCCCATCTCCCTTCCAAGAAGAGCAGAAACCTTTGGAGGCTTTGACAGTCACCAGATGAATGCATCCAAGTGTGAGTATTCCTGTGCGTGTGCAGGACTGGATTTGGGTTTAGAAATTTTTGTGCCTGTCAGACATCTCCCTTCCAAGGAACTCAGGCACCTAATGAATCTTAAATGAGCTTAATGCCTCAATCTTCCAGCATGCTACCCGTTTTACATACAAGGAAATGGAGGCAGTTAAAGGTGCAAAGACTTGCCCAAGTTACTGGAAGTCCATGGTTGAGCAGGGACTCGGGGCCAGGTCCGCTGATCCCTTGTCCTGAGCTCTGTGCCTTTCTTTTCACGCCCTTTACTCGGCTTATTTAAATATTTGTTTCCTTCACATCTGTTTGTTTGCTACAATATCTGCAGCCTGGTTCCCTCATCTCCAGAGGGCTGCTACCTCCTAGTCTGGATGCAAAATGAGATCCCAGTTGACATATGACAACCCACCTGAGAGAGAGCTTGTTGAATCAAGCAGGTTGTGCCCCCTGCCTTGTCTCCCATCTTCTTTGCTTATGCTCCTTACACACCCTCACCCACAGTGATTTCAGTCTCCCCTGGCCAAGTGAGCAAATATGTAGTTTGGCTGCACACTTTACAGCTTCCCAATGTCCCACTTGTCCACCCCAGGCTTCAGAGGCATCTTCATCCCTCCAGGGCTCCTCTCCCCACAAACCATATCCTCTGCTTTCCTACTTTCAGTCTGAGTTGTGTCCCAGCACAGCTCTCCCTGAAACCCCTGCCCAATCTTCTATGTCACACTGTAGTCTTTAGCTCCAGACAGTCTGCAGTGTGAAACCTAGAGGATTTTCTCAGCCACAAGATATAGTGCCCAGTAGGCCCTGACACAGCAACATAAAAAGCATTTTGCTCAGACTTGAATTTAGGTTGAAGTTTCTTTTCCTGATTGCAGTAACTTGCATGGCCTCAGGCTGGGCTGGTCAAGACTGTCCAAGTCTCCCTTCTCTTGCCTGGACTTTCTGCAGAGACGGGGTCATATGAATCTGACAGTATGAAAACTGCGTTTTGGGGGACGCTTTGGAAGGAAGATGTAGTGTCTATCAGATAGACCCAGCACTGGGAGGGAGGAAGCCAGGTTCTGTCCCATTTCCAACTGTTCTGCTTGCCCTCTCATAACTTTAAGCAAATCTCTTGGCCTTATTGTGCCTCATGTTTCCCCAGCAGCAAAATTATAGTAAAGGTTGCTTTGACTGTTTACACCTATGGAAAGATGTCAGGCTGCAGGCCCTTGCACAGGTTTCAGAGAGGCTGCAGTGGCTGGGGCAGAGAGCATTGGTTAAGGGTTAGCATTTGTTTGTGTCAGTGAATAGAAAATCCAGACCCCAGGAAGGATGCAACTCTGCACTACGGCCGGTGTTCTGTGGTTTGTTCGTTAACAGAGTTGTCTTCATCCACGCTGGCTTGATGATTCACGTTTAAATCAATGAAGAAAGCTCTAAGGGTGGTTTTTTCTCAGGTGGTTTGTCTCAGTTGGGAGCAGACTCATGACATGTCTGGCAGTCTGTTCTGAATTCCTGGGTTCTGATGTCTGAGCCTGCAAGAGCTCTTGGTACCCAGGGACAAACCTGTTTGCATGCAGATACTGCCCTCCTGGTACCAACCCATTGCCTGAGTATCATAAATCCCATCAGGATGGGTAGCATTGCAACATAACGTGATGTTTTATCCTCCATTTCAATGCAATTGGCATTCACCACATGTTCTTTCACAATCTGTCTTGGAAACCACAGCCAATGGTTTCCATTTCAGTGCTAGTGAAATGGAGAATGGGGGATTGTGAGGCCTGAAAGATGTCTGACCCATAAGCGAGTGCACTAAAATTATTGGCATTTCAGGCAAAGCCCAAACTGGTCCCTAATCAAAGCACTGATTGGGTTAGTGTGGGCTGACATTTATTTGTATAAATAGGAAGCAAGCACACATTGCTAAAGGACAAGAACATCTCAGCTGTGTTGAATCACCTGTAATACAGACCATTTTCCCTCATCTGACACTTGCTAATGACTGAACACTTCATCTGCCATTTGCAAAGTTAAATGATCTGTGTCAACCTTTGGGGGGTGTTTTTAGGTGGAGAGAAGGATGAAGGCGAAGATGCCCAGGATCTTCGGAGGACAGAATCCGACAGCATTCTGAAGAAGGTATTGCTGTCGCGTGTGTGTCTTACAGCAATAACCATTGTCCTTTCGTCCTGGCACTGTCACTTCTAAATCTGAAAAAGCATGAGTTTCTGTCCCCGTTAAGCCCACCGTGCTGGAAGTCTGTAATCAAAATCAGTATTGCTTTGACTAAAATTCCCACTTCAAAACAAAAATTTATGGGTAATAAACCAGTGTCACAGAAGACCCTATCCTGCCATCTGTCTGCAAACCAAATAAAACATGCGTCTAATTATGCATTGCTATTGCCATGCCATGGCCAAACATAAACTCGTGCCCTCATGCAGATTAGTTCATCGTATCGCTACAAAGTGATCCCTAATTAACATTTGATTTTTTAGCTGATTTTCACTTAGATACATGAGATCTGCATTGCCAAAAAGGAAAATGGGAGGGTTTGGATGTGTTTCTATCATTAGTTCAGCTTTGAAAGGCAGTTATTGTACTGCTGGTTTGCCCTTTTATTAAAGCAATGTGATCTTTTCATAGGGTGGAAACGCTAATTTCATGTTCATGTTGAAAAGAAATAATGAGGTAAGAACAATCTCTGTTGCCTTAGGGGTGGGGTTTATTTCACTTTCAGTTTTGATGGCAAGTGGATTTGTTCCAATGGGTAAAGGAGAGCGTGTACTTCATATCCTGATGTATAACTAACTTAGACTTTTAAATGTAGTAAACTGAGCTTTGGATACTCAGTCCAGGGATTTATTGCCTGACCTTCAACTGCCATTAGTAGAATGAATGCTGAGTATAGGCATCAGGGGTTAATTATGGCTAGAGAGCACAGGACTGTATTCACCATGCATCAGCATATAGAAGGAGTTTAATTGTATGTTGCAGGTGCAGTGAATTGGGGCAATTAGGTTTCTATTCTTCCTTTGATATGCATCTAACTCCCAATTAACATTAATGGCAGCTAAGTATCTCATTGAGAAGAGGTTCCTTTCCTACCAGCTATTATGCAAGAACTGGAAACACTGCTGCTTGTGTTGCTTAAATTTGTGTATTGAAAGAGCAATTGTGGTACATCGAACAGGATTCAGAGAAGCACTTGGTGGGTGTTTGGAGGTACAAGACACCATCTCAAAATGTCTGGCATGCTATTGGCTCTACACCAACACAAATACCTGTGCCTTTAGGAGCTATATTTCCAAAGGTCTCCAGCCCTATGCCTGCAATAGTTGTGAACCCATTTGTTTGCATAATTTCCCTGAAGAGGGGGAAGTGGAAGGGACAGCAAACTTTTAATGCATTTTTAGGGCCCGTTCCAAGATGTTTTGCCGTGAAAGTCATTTTCCTGCAAATACGCAGTCACAGTTAATGCATGCAAACTTCCTTCCTTTATGGTAACCTTCTCCTCAGTACCATTCCTCCTTCACTTCCCAGAAAATGGAGCCACAAGGAATACTGGCAGCCTTTGTGTGGCAAAGAGCAAACTGGGGAGGAGACTTGACTGCACAGCCGCAGATAGGGCAGAAAGCAAAGCAGTAGATCAGACAGGGAGTACAGGGCTGGGAGTAAAAAGCAGAGCAGCAGATTGGGCAGGCAAAGAGGATTGCACTGGTGCTTGGAGAAGACGTGAGGCTAATTTGTGGCACTTCTGCCAAAAACACTGCTGTAAAGAAAAGACCTCCTGAGACAAGGCAGGCAGAATGGGGTGGTTCTCCACGTGCACCTTGCTGTGCGAGCCCACAACTGGCTTCTTCACTGATTGCTAGGGAAAGCCAGAGGAAAGTGTGTGCCAGTAGGGTAGCCATGGATGTGATGCACTAGGTGGGATAATTGGACCTGTATTCATTAGCCTGCCTGAAGCACCCTAAGGACCCAACTACAGTGTTTCAAGTTTAGGAAGTGACCCAGGTAAAGCCATGTGGTGTGCTGGACACGTTGCCTGGCTCAGAAAGTTTAACACACAGACATGCCCTAAACTTTGATCAGTAGGTGTATTTGGGATAAACTATTGATGGTATTGGGGGCGGGGCAAGTAGGATGGCTGGGTGTCATCAAACGAATCAGCATGGCCACGCACAGCTCATTTGCAATGTTACAGAAGAGCGAACAGTAAGGTGAGGTATTACAGCAATGCTCTTCTTCTGTTTCCTTGCAGCATGTTCTCCATAGCATCACCCAGCTCCATAACCTGCTTAGTGCTTTGCAGGTAGGTCATCCTGAAGCCTGGTATTCTGCTTTCACATTCTCCTTCCCTGAACATATGAATCCCCTCCATGAGCATTGACTTGTGACTGTGTTGACATCAGCATTTCACTTGCGCCCTTTCCATTCCATATGTATTCCCAGCCTGTGCTTGGACTTGAAGGTCCTGCTAAAGGGTCCTGTCTGATGTCTGTCATGTTGGGAGTATTCTCTTCTCATCTCTTTCTGCATAGCTCTCCAGTCTGAAGGCAGCTAGTGCTCTGAACTGCCATGCAAAAGTCTTGGGTCAGGGGTACTAGACATGGCCTGTGTCTTACAAATACATGCTGGCCTTGCTGGACCCTCTAATCAGCCGAGACACACGCTGACTTTTCTAGGCACCAGATGCAGCTGCTGACTGCTCCGTGACATGACAGCTGCTGTACTACATGCCTTCCATGCAAGGAGGCACCGCACTGACTTTGTTCTTTCTCCCCTTCCAGGCTGTCGTGTTGCAGCAGGACACGTACATTGAGGATCAGAAGCTGGTTCTGAATGAGAGAGCGCTGACACGGACCTTCTCCAGGCCGAACTCCTTGATCGAGCAGGAGAAGCAGCGGAGCCTAGAGAAGCAACGCCTGGAGCTGGCCAACCTGCAGAAGCAGCAAGCCCAGTACCTGGCGGAGAAACAGAAGAGGGAGAAGGAATGGGAGACACGGGAGAAGGAGCTAGTGGACCGGGAAATGTGGCTGACCCAGAGAGAAGAGCAGGCTCAGAAGGGGCACCAAGAGCTGGAGAAGGAGAAGGAGGAGCTGCAGAAGAAGAAGTCGGCCTACCAGATCGACCTGGAGAGGCTCCGTGCTGCACAGAAGCAATTGGAGAGGGAGAAGGAGCAACTCCAGAGAGAAATGGAGCAGTTGCATCATGCACAGTTGAAGCAGCCTGGCCACAATCAGGTAATCGCTGTTTCCAGTCAAGGGCTCAGGGTAGAAGTGCAGCTCAGGTGACAAACTGGCTTTCCAAAGAAATGGTCTGGTTAAGCCACAGGTTGCTAGGCTCAGTGCTGGAGTTGCTGAGGAGATTCTAGTCCAACTAGAGGGTAAGAAAATGGTCCACTCTGCCCTTAAAATCAAGGAATGAACCTGAGAGAGTTGAGACCTGATTTTTTTTTAACACTGATCTGTCTTGTGCACCTTGTGTTTCCTGGTGTTTGCTGCTGCATGTTGCCTGTTCTGTCTCGGGAGAGGCTTCTAGCAGAGCAGTGCCTTCCAGATCCCCGTGGCAATTGTGGGCGAATGCGCATCTCTTGTCTTGCCAGTGGGGTTCGTGGGTGAATGCATCTGAGCTTTGCCAGCTTTTTTGGAGACCTGTTTCTTATTGGCCTGATAGTAAGTGGTATAACAGGCTGAGCTGAACTGCAAGAAGGAGCAGACACAGGAATGCTCAGGAGAAACCTCTGTTGCATTTCACTGTAGCCTTTTCACATCTGGGCCAGCAATTTTTTGTTCTCCCAGGCAGTCAGTCCATTAGCCTGGACCTCCCCACTAGGCCAGCTGCATCTTTTTACAGAAGCAAACACTGGTGAGGAGCAGCAAGGCTGAATGGTTTTGCTTGTTAATCTTGGTCACTATACTGTAAGACCTTGTTAATTTATTTATAGTGGCCTCCTACAGTGTTCTAGACACCTCATAAATAGATGAACACAATCCCTGTCTAGATTACAGACCTCACACAGCAAGCTGGAGGGGGAGCAGTCTGGGGGCTTAGCACTGGGCTGTACAACATTGCAAAGAAGAGCTTGCACAGCTTATATAAGGTTTTTTGTCAGGAAGTTTGGGTTTATTTTCCATTTAATCCAGTTGGAGGTATGGCTGAAGGGAATCACTAGAAGGATGGCTCGTTCCACACAAACACACTCGGAAATCAGATTTCAGGCCTGTAGCCAATACGTTTAATTAAGGCACAAAATTAATCCCAGAGCAATATGTAATTTGTTTTGAGCTGAAGCAGCAGTACTTTATAAAAGTTAGGCCCTGCATTCAGAGAATGGAAATGGAGCCACGTGACTTAATTGGCTCATTGAGTAGCTCAGATATTGAACTCCAAATAGCAGATAATCAGGGGAGTGTTTGCTGCCCCCTTATCCACTGGCAGTCCAGAGGCTGACATTCCTTCATACCATTCACAATAACAAATGAAGTCACAAAAGTTGTAATTGGCTTGAGAGCAGATAAGAGTGTCGGTTTCTCCAAAGATCATGGTGCAAATCTAATTTATTTGCTTGGCACTTGGAGTCCGTGGCCAAGGGCACGATAGGGAAACACGAGACAAAATAATTCATTCAGCTTTGCTGTAGGTCAGCCGGATACCAGTGTCATTCAAAGAAAGCAGCTTTTTGGAGGCATGTATCCAGATGTCAAAGCTCTGAATAGGGATGTCTGAATGGAGCCTGGAGGATAGGAGCTCGTGTCCTGGCCTTCCCTTTATATATGTTGGGTGCCACTGCCTTTCTGGAGGACACATTGGAAAAGCAGTAAAATGATTTGCCTTGTCCTTTCCCTTTGGGAAGACTTCACTTGTCAGGCATCCCCCTATGTATCCATCAGCATGCCTCTCCTTAAGGGGGAGGATTTCTGCATCTGGAAGTGGGAAGGAGCAATCCTGAATTTCTTAGTGGACTCGCTCTCTGTTTGTTGTACCCCTTCAGTCTCATTCGTCAGGGGAAGAAATAGAAGCACCCCTTTCTCAAATCCTCATCTCATTCCCCTCAGACAAAGGAGTGTGTTGGTTGGGAGAAATGTCCATGTTACTGGATACTGCCTAGAGTAAGTGGTTTCTTTGGGTAGGTGTGTGAAGCAGCAGGCTTGGTCTACAACTGCAGCAAAGGCCTGTCTGCACCGGAGTGTATGAGTGAAACGCTTCTGTTCTCCTTTCAGGTTTCAAAGCCGCACGAGAAAACTATGAGGACCCCATCCCTGTGCGCTGCTGAGGACCCCTCCAAACAGCAGAGCTCTTCCCTTTCCGAGCCAGGGCACTTTGATTCAGAACTGTCTGTGTCACCCAAAAGGAACAGTCTCTCAAGGACATCAAAAGAGAAATGCACTTTCAGTTTGCATAGCACAGCCAATCAGACTAACAAGGCGGCTGAAGGGCAGCACCAGATGCCTTCCCGCCTCTTTGGTTTAGGGCCAGCCAAGCCAAAGGACAAGAAGGAAAAGAAGAAAAAGGGCAAAAGCCAGCGCTCCCAACCTGCTGGTGAGTGTTAGTGTAGGATTAAAAGGATTAAGTGAGTGTAGGATTAAAAAGCTGTTCAGCCTTGGGGAAGCATGGTACCCAGCCTCCAAAGAGTGATAACCATGAGTAGGGGATAGGAAGAATGGCAGTGATGAGCAGAGCTTCCCACAGAGGCTGATGCTCTCTGGTGTTGTCTCATGTGTGCAGAGAGAACAGGTGTTGGCTATGGGATATTTTCCCCCCGTGGCTCTTTTCTACAGACCACTGCTGTTGCTCTCCAGGCCATCTCCACAGCTATGGAGGTTCCCCTGATAATCTAGCAGCAGGGGATGCTTCCTGTCTGCAAGGGACAGAGGGGGCAAATACTGCTTCTTCCTCCCTCCCTCCTCTCCACTTCGTCTGGGTGACTTGACTCCCCTTATTATACTTTTCAACATCAGCTGTGTGAAATCAGTACTCCCAAAAGTAGGGTGCTGATAAACACAGTCTAAAATCCAGGACTGGATCTTGGGGGAAAGCCCCTCTAGGGGCATTTGCCTTGAAAATCTTCCCATGAGTGTCCCTGCTATTACCACCCTCCCCGCCACCAGCTGCCACCTTTCTCTGGTCAGAAGGGAAGCCCAGGTTCCCTTATCTGTGACCACTACCACCCCCGGCTAGCCCAGTTGCCTCTCCTCTCGCATTGACCTGTTGCATCTCACTTCTGACCTGCCAGTGTGCAATCACCTAGTGGTTTTCTCTCATGGATCCACGTCGGCTGTGGACTCTGCAAGCCTCCAGGGTACTGGGTGACAGATTGCTGGTTTATTAACCCTATTCTTGTAACTTGATGATGTAGTTGAAATGGGATACGTCATACACCCCGTTGTAGGAGCGAATGGACAAAAGGTGCCAATTTGCTTTAACATGGAACTTCATGGTGTATTTCTATGGTGAATAACAATGAATTTTCCTTTCCCAGATGCCCATTCATCAGAAGCACCACCGGAGGGCAAGGAAATCTTCTGCTGAGTGTCTGCTCCTAATTCTGCCGGGATAAGGCTCCCTCTTCACTGTACTGTATTAGAAACCATGCAGGTGTCTGACAGGGCCAAAGCTTTCCTCACCCACTGACTGCTTTCAGCCATTGTATGGAGGAAAGCTCCCTGCCCCCACCCTGCAGCAGGTTCCCGGTTCCTGCATCCACCAAGCTTGCCAGGCCATGCATTCAATGAAGCTTGCATCAAGGTTGCAAGAGGCGGGCACGGGGCTCTAGCCTTCGGTGTTGTATGAATCCTGGCTGCAGGGGCTGAGCACATGGCAGACAGCATCCACTCCCTATGCAAACCTTGGTTTAAAATGACCTGTGCAGATAATTCCCTGTTTCTCTTACTGGTCAAGGCTGAGAGAAGGTGGCCCAAGCAGTCTGTGCCTCTGCATTCCCCTTTTCTGGGGAACATAACCAAACCTTTCCCCTTTAGCAAAAGGTTAGGACTCTGCAGATGGTGCGTACACACTGGCATATATAGATATACTGTATATATATACATATATGTATCTGTGTATCCACTGGGATATACATAAAGTCTGTACAGACAAGCTGGGTTAGCTTAGCTGTGCCCAGGGAGATAGATGAAACCTGATGACTTTCAGGGAGTGTGTAGATATTAAATATCTTGCCCTTACTGCTCAGTGTAGCTTCATTGGCTTGCCCGCCCCTTTCACATATATCAGACATCTCGTGCTATATTTCAGGAAGGTACAAAACACCAGGCAGCAACGGCAGTGAGGGGTGGGGAAGGGAGAGGAACAACCTGCCCAAATTCAAATCAGCCAGTATTTCTGACAGATTTCTGCGGGGCAAAGATTAAATTTTAAAAGATTTCCAGCAGGAAGTGCAAAATCTGAATGTTTTGAAAGGAAGAAGAAAAATATGCCAGGCTTGTTAGGCAACCCTGGGGACCCAGAACAGACAGTGCTCAAGTGAGAACCGCTCTGACTGCTTTTTAATGGGCCTGTGTTCGTTACAGCCTGCTTACTCCCTCCCTCCTGCCCTTCCTTAAGCCGCGGGTCCTTTGTCAGAATACATTTCTCCATTTGCAGTTGTTTCATTACAAGCCCACCAACTGATCAGAGAAACTCCTGAGAATTTTTCCATTTAGGGATCACTTAGCTTATATATATTTTTTAAACTATTGTCTGGATTTTTTTTTCCTCCCTGGCATATGCTAATGAGGTGATTCACATGATTACTGAGCTTCTATTTCTCAGGATTTCGTCAGCTCCTCTTACTTATTTCTTCTCCAAAGTGACATCACAGACATTTCCCCAGCACTTGAGTGAGGTGTCAGGGAGTTGTCACCTTTGGTGGGGGAGTGAGGGTTGCAGGGCTGACCTCGGAAGAAACACGGCTCCTAGTTTTATGCAAACGCAGGGCTCTGCACTGGGGAGACAGCTTGTTCTCATGGACTGAACACAGTGCTGCTGGTCAGACGCTCCAGAGTCCAGATTCTTTGTGTGGCCTTTAACAAATTACTTCACCGCTCAGTGCCTCAGTTTCTCCAGCTGCAAAATAGGATCATTAGAATTCCCTTTGTGGGTGAGAGAACATGCCTCGGTGCACTGAAGCTGCAGGGTGTTACCCAAATGCCAAGTACGGTGGGTATGAGTGATGACCAGGGGCAACAAAATGTAGCAAGCCATCTTGCTTTTAAATGGAGAGCCACTCTCTGCCCCTCTCCAGAGATTTGCCTTAGTGTTTTATGGCACTTTCAAATTGGCTATTACCTTCACTCCCTGGAGCAGTCTGATGCGGTGATGCTCGCTCCCTTTCCCACATATTCTCCTTCTTTTCAAATGGTGTCTTGCACTCTTTTGACTTGCATTTGCTTGGTAGCTTCTCATAAGCTAGTTGTGCACAGCAGATTTCAGCATTTGGTGCTAACATTTTTAATGAGCACTGCTGACAGCTGCATGGGGGTTTAGACAGGTCTGTCTTGATGAATGAGGAATCCAGAATAGATCACTTGCTTTTGAAGCTCTCCGAACAATTCTCTCTCTCTCACTCGCGCACACACACACTGAGATTCTATTTTTGTCTTTTTTTTATTTTTAAATATTATTTGGTGCTCATACTTAGTTGCAAGCTGGGCTTGCAAAAAAAACCAAACCAAACCAATGTTTATCTTTCTGTTTATTTGAAAGAGGTCTGGTTTAAAAAAAGAGATTTACTTTGTTTTGTTTTGATATTATTTTTTCTAAAGATGAGCTTGAGGAACCAATGGTTTTTTCTCACTGTTGCTTCATATAAGAACAAGGCATGTTCAGCGCTGCCAAGCAGCTGGTGTCCAGCCTGAACAGCAGTCATATGCAACGAATTCCAACCAGAAAGCGGTCTTGAAGGCAAAGCAGCTCCAAGCTAAGCAAAAATTGGAGAGGGGTGCAGTGGTTCTGGGTAGGAATCTTGCTGTCTGTTAGGCTTTTGGAATTTACATCTCCTTTCTAAGTTTTCCCATCTCTCTCTGAACAAAGTAAAAGAGCCATTCATGTTTGGGTAGGTCTTGATCAGTGCCTAGAGAAGTCAGGAGAAGTCTTTCTATTGACTTCTGTGGGTGCGGGATTATATCTTGATAATGGAGTTGTCTTTAAGGTCGTTAAATTTAAAAAATCCTTCCCCTAGTATTAACGGCCGGTGAAACCTAAATCTGCAGAGGAAACCAAACCAATACACGGTAAAGTTACTGTTCTGTAGGCAGAACTCAGCGCTTTGGTGTTTTTGAAGGTTTCCATTTCATTGGCATTCGCTGTTTCCAGCACGAGTCCTTCCTTTTCTTCCCAGTGTCTTCCCCGTACCACTGACACCTCCTAAAGCTGTGTGTCCTATTACTCTTGGAAAGGCAACTGAGCAGAAGCCCCTCAACCAGGGCAATGGGAAGGAAGCCTTGGCTGTTTGACTTTCTCCAGTCTTGCTGTAAACAGAACTGCATTGAGCGCACTGCCAGCTGCATCTGTACTTTTGCTAAGCAGCTACCCAGTTTCCCATCTGCACCTTTCCAGAGTAAACAGAGGATTGAATCTGAAGTGCATCAATTCATATCAGAGTTGTTTGTGCCTGTTTTGAGGGGGGACAGAAATCCTTTGTTGCTGTATGAGATTGTATCACCATGAAGCCCTTAGTCCCCCTCCCTCTAGCTTTTTCATTTGTAAGAAGCAGGGAGGGGAAAGCTGTGCGTGCGTGCGTGCGTGCGTGCGCGCGCAATTTTTTTTAATCATAGCCACCTTTCTCATGTTCCCCTTTGAATGTTTTGGAGTTGATCCCTGGAAATAGATTCCTACCCTGATCCCTGCAAAATCACCTAGATAGTGTTTGATCCCAGGTGCTTTGTTAAGAGTGGGTCAGTCCTCTGTGCTAGGATTTTGTAGCCTCGGTATCCTTTTCCTTTCCCCTTTTTTGTTATGTTGTTTTACTTCCAGGCATGGCATCTAACCCATGCCTGTTGAGTGCATATTATATCTTTAACCAAATCTGAATTGCAGTCAGATGGCCTGGATGACATTAAGAGAACTGGTCTCACCCCACTGCATGTTGGGCTCTCAGGGGACCCAGGGGTCAGAAGGGGCTGCATCTACGGCATGCTGCTGCAGGAAGAAGTGGAGTTAGAAAAAATTCCAGCTGAGCTCCCTGTACATGTCTGGCATTGATGGGAACAGCAGACTCCTCACAAGCGTGAAGAAGGAAAGGCTTGGCATGCTGGCTGTGTCTATGCAGCAGAAGGGGCATTAGGGAGTAGCATGATGAAGGAAGCAATCTCAGAATGAAGTACATAAAATGGGGTGGTGAAGATATCCCAGGGATTAGAGCTGTAGTAAGTATCTCTAGAATCGGAGGGATCACATAGGATTAGCCTTCAACTTCTTTTAAACAAAGTGATCATCTCAGCCTGTAAACTTCTATCGTGGTTCGATGCCATTAAGCACTTTAAATGGACCCTGTCTTGTCATTCGCTTTTCTCAGACAATCAGATTTGTATTCTTGCTTCGCCCTCTGTCCCCCCAGTGCAACCTGGGATGGGGAAGGGTTAGGCTATATGCAAATATAAACTCTGCATGCGTGTAGGCTTTGCTAAGGTGTTGGGAGATGGGGGTGGAGCAGCAGCTTTCATAGTATTCCTAGGTCAAAGGTAAGAAGGTGTGAATTTTACTATAGCCGCGCTCAAAATGGAGTGAACTGAGTGCCCTTCGTCTCATGCACTCTCTACTACAGGGAATCTAGCTATCGCCCAGCCTGCCAGGTGAATCCCTGCTGGGAGCCCCCCCAGTGTGCATATGGCACAGGAGGAAAAGCAAGCATCTCCTGGAGACTGAGTCAGTCAGGTTCCCGAGAAGAGAATGAGCTTTCCCAAGTGGCACCTTCATTTCCGATTCCTCTCTTGCTCTTGGAGGTAACGTGGGGCAAAGGGAATGGATGGCGAGTCCATTTCAAGGCACGGCTTCATTTCCTGCAGGCACCTCCCAAGCTGACTCTGGACCAAAAGCACTTACTTTCCATGGGGTGGCCTGATTTTCTTTTTTTCTTCTTTCCCCACGCCATACCTGTTGAGGTCTGACCACTGCTGGGAACTGTGGGACTAAGGGTAGGTGGCACAGATTGGCATTGCCTGACAAAGAGCAAGCACACTTGTAGTGTCTGGTCCTCTTCTTACCTTCTTTAGGTTGGTAAAATCTCTCAAAGCTGTTGTGAAACAATGCCCAAATCCAGTTCTTCCTCATGGCAGAGACAGATTGGGGAGGGCTTAATAATGCCAAATCTCAAGCAGATGGTCTGGGGAAGCCAGACACCAGTGATAACCTAGATAGAGGGGAGGACTGGTCCGAGATGGCAACAACGCAGTGATTTTCCTATTTAAGCCTAGCATAACATTCCCTGTTAACCAGAACGCCGGAAAGTCTCCTGCCTGCTGGCCAGGTCTGTAAACGTTAACTAATTTAAGGCGCCCTCTTTTAATTAAACTTCCCCAGTGCTCAGAGTGCTTACTCCGTTTGTCAGACGGGGCGACAGGCCGCAGTTCTTTCTCCCGTGATCTAGCTAAGGTTTAAAAATAGGCAAGCTGAATCGGTTCCCTCCCGTGTGTCTCATGAGCAACGGGAAGCACGGTGCTAAATCCTTGTCAAAATGCGTGCTAGGGGCAGTGCCCTTTCTCTTCATGTGCACTTCACTGCCATTGAAGCCCTGCCCAAATCCGTTCTGCTTCCATTGGCTGAGAAAAAAGCAGGATGTTTGCTTCTCCCATAGCAGCAAACACAGGAGTCTGTAAAGCATGAATCAATTCCAGATTCTTAAGTATCATTTTCTTTATTGATGTTAAACACGGGCTCTAAAAGCCGATGTCCCGTTCAGCTCGCCTATGGTTAAAGTTTAGCCTCGCGTTTATTTGATACTAATATGGAATGCACTAGAGTAATCCCCGAATGTTGAGGAGGTGTATTATAGTACCACGCTATACCTCTGCTTTCAGTTTGTTTTGTTTCTTTCAAAAGAAAAAAAAGTTTTGCAATGTTATGTTCAATCTGTTTAAATAAAAAAAACTTAAAAAAAAATTAAAAAAATTAAGAAGTTAAAGATGAAATTTTAAAAAAGAGGGTAAAACCTAATGGCTGTATGTTAATTTGTAATTATGTAAAAAGTGCGCTGGTTATCAACTGTAAAATTCTTCATTTTTTTTCCTGTCACTTACCAGGAAACATGGCATGATTCTGCCGTTAGGTTTTGTAACAAGCTTTTATTTATCTTCCTTTTTAGTTATCATCATCATCAACCTCTTGT